ATATAGCTGCAAGCAGCAATTAAGGGGCTAAACACCATGAGCCATGCAAGCATTGCTGGAAGCTTCAGAGCAACTGCAACAATAAGTAATTAAAGGCGTTTTAGATACATTTAGTCGAAATGACTGAAAAATCACAAATAATAATTATAACGATCACTTGTAATATGATTAAATTGCTTCTGACCTTTAACTAATAGGTGGCGCTGTTACCAAATTGTTGACTTGTGGTCAGAGTGAGGAGACGTTTTCTAAGAAATTCAAAATGCTGGACAATATGTTTGTCTCAATTTGAGAAATTTTATTATAAATTTTGACCAGAAGGTGACGCTGTTGAGAAAATTGAGTACCTCCAGGACATGATGAAACATACCAAGTGATTTCTGAGATACATCAGTGTTTCCCCTAGAAATGTTTCCATCAGCTGTGCTGTTACGTGCCGGAAGTTGTTACCAAGCCGCATGCGAGGGAGTGGGGGGAATTTGTTTATTTATTTATTTCTTATAACCCCTTAAACTATGACTTCAGGCAAGTTTTTGTGGATAGAAATTGACATTTTGAGACATACAAATATGACATACCATCAAGAGATTCAAGGCATGATTATTGCAGCATGTAGCCTACCTTAAATTGGTCACAAACAGAAACATTCATTTTATAATTTTAGACAGGATTATTCATGTTTTTCTTTTGTGTTCATTTTCTTGATTGTGGAAAATTGAAATGGCACAACCCAGACAAATTATTATTTAAATTTACTAATACATTTTTAAAATCCAAAGTTTTATCTGTATATACGTATATATATATATATATAATATATTGTTTACTCAATGTGTTGATTGTTAGATAACGCATAAAGAAATGTTAATGATCTTACCATCTTATGGTATTTTATTGTAGAGTTACCAAACTATACAGGAGATAAAACGTATTTATATTTAATTTTAAAAGGACTTTTTAAACCTGCTAAGAGTTATCCAGCCAAGAACTGATTTTTTGGTGGACTATTAATGACTATTAATAATATTAATGACACAAATAGTGATGCACCGATACTGATACCAGTACTCGGGTGTCGGTCTGATACTGTGCTAATGTGGGCTACTTGTACTCGTAAAACTACCCCGATACAAACGCATTCGATACCACCTTAGGGGCCGTTCACATATTGTGTTTTTTGCGCAAAATGCGTTATTTCATTTGTAGGTGCGCGGCAAGCAGGCTCACAATACAAGCAATGCGGCAAGATGAAAACATCTCAACATCTCATTTCAACAGGTCATGTGACAAAAACCAACCGATCAGTTTTGGCCTTTCCGTAACAACATCGAAAGCTCAGCCGAACAGCTGATCATAGATGTACAGGCCAGGGCGGCTTTTTATTTCTCATATCCATAAAATATCTAGTAGTAAAGCTAATGCAAGGGCTAGAAATCAATTATTTCTTTGCTGATACTTCTTCGTCCTCATGGAGAGTGCAGTTCGCACTGCTTTCTCCTTTCCACAAGCACTTGCTCACCCGTGGGTGTCTGCGTTGCTATGCAACCATGAATGAGTGACAAGACCTACATTTGAAATAACGAATTTGCACACGCAAAAATCGCGCTATGTGAACTGCCCCTTATGGCAACGTGACATTAGCCTAATCAAAAATATTTCAATATGTGGCTCTTTCCTCCTTTCTTGTCAACAAGCGGATTCAGAGCCACCACATTAGCAGGGCCGCCGGTCGCCATGTCTCAGTGTTTTTAGTGAATTGAATAAAGTGAATGTGGTGATATTACCTATCATGTGAAGATTTTGCAGGCTGCTGAATACATGGTAGGGGAAACACTGTCATAACATATGCTGATGTGTGAATAAAATAAGTTCTTAGCAAAATTTGCCGTTTTTAATGTCTCCTGACCAGTAGGTGGTGCTGTACTGAAACTGCATGTAGCCCCAAGTCATGCTTGTGATGTATCCAATTTGGAGTGCGCCATTTCAAAAGTAGTAGCACTTAATTAAAAAATGGTTGGGTTTATCAAAAAGCATTTTATAACTTTATGCTAGCATGGTCTGAAACTGATCTGAGCTCATTGTGGTGAAAATCAGACAAACAGTCAGGAGAAGTTGGAAAAGGTAGTTTTCTTGGAAAATTGAAAATGACCTAGGTAATTTGTATTTAGTAATAAACAGTCATTTGGACTGTCGATGGCCCTAGAGTATTGAGTGAGAGACTCCAAAATTGGTCCGGTTAATAATATTCAGAAAGTCCTCATTTTATCATTGTCAGTTCAATGGGTTTCCATAGACTTCAAGAGCGGAAGAAGAAAAAACTAACGGATACAACAGGTACTTTCTAGTTGTGTTGTCCAGCTTGACTTTCTTTGCCCTTGACATAGGCTCACTTAATAACACCACTGCTTCCTCTCATTGTTGTCTGCTGTCACCCTCACATCCTGTCAGATGTCACACAGGGTCTGAATGTAAAAAGCCCTCCTGTGTATCTCTCATTCTGCTCTAACCAGCAGACATTTGCATGCTGACACATCATAGCATCCTATCTGTCTGTTCCCGCAGCAGTCCTCGTGTCTGTGAAATTGCTACGCTGCGTATCTGTCGCATAAGCACCGTACACGGATCACATCGCCATAGAAATAACAGCTTTGTAAAAGTCATAAATCACATGATGGAATAGCCAAAACTCAATTGAGTCGGAAACCATTGTGGCGTCTTCGGGGGCTAATTGGATTGGTGTTTAGCAAGACCCCGGGAGGAGGCTGGCCTAGCGTTCATGCATAAAATTGTCTTTGTTTCTCTCCGCCGGCCGCACTTTTACTTCTCCCTCATTGCATCTCAGCCACCTCCGCCAATACTACACTGCACTGGGAGGCGTATTAGCACACCTTTGTGCCAACGCGGGAGGAAAGGGTGGGGGGACGGCAAAGAAAAAACAGAAATGATCTGGTATTAAATTTCAATAACACATTTCCCCCATCCCTCCAGAGTACAAGCAATCAAGGGTTAAATTGGATCTGTAACGTATGCTTGGTGACCCACAAATCGCTTCCCCATCAAACAGACTCATTACGAGCCGGCAAGCAGATGAGTGTTTGTGCGCCCCTGCCTCTGAGCGGCAGGGATTGTGTGTATTACTACTAACACGGCCGAGGTATTTAAATTTGGATTTTTTCGTAATGGGTTTTGACATGTTTCATTTCCTCCGGGGGAAGCGCCAGAGACCGCTGAAAGTAAATGTTGCTAAAAAGTCATCAAGGCAGAATATTAAAATGCCATCAAATAAGAATTTCGCTAATGTGATGGGGCCGGGGCCGCTGCAGGTACGTCACGCCGGGGTCAGAGGGGTCCTGGTTCTGGGAGAAACACTATTTGTTCCCCTTGGCTGGCTTTTTTCTGGCCTCTTAAATAAATTATTAAAGGACTTATATCTCTCGCCCTCAGCCCGCCTCTTGGGCCTCTCAAAGTTCAGCCGCACCATTTGAAATGAAAAACAGGCAAAAAAGGCTGAGTGATCAGACGGACACGATGCCGTGGATCGGCAGCCTATTTCCTTTCATGAACCAAGGGAATATTGCGTTTAAAAACGGACTCAAAAACGCCGCGTGCTTGTTTCGTTCTATCGAGGGGTAGTTTACCTGAACATAAACGCAAGTAAGTGGATCTCTCTTTAAGCGCGCCATGTTCACTCCCAACTCCCACACAACTCTGTTTGGAATGAATACCGTAGCATAAGGCATCTTATACATGATCATTTTGAGCTGATAATTACACATTTTGGGAGTCTGGCAGGATTGGACACTCACGTCTGGGTGTTGTGACAGCATGATTATTGGAAACACTTTCTGCCTGAGCGACTAAATTAAAACATTTGTCTGCTATGGATCCCCTAGTGCAGAAGAGAAAAAATAAAAAGGCTGCACAATATACGTTGCGCGCTTTTTCAATATAATCCGTTTCTTAAATAGTCCCGTTTCTCTTTCTCACCATGTTCCCTCTATTGTTTTCTGTATTCCTCGGGTATTCCTTTTGAGCCCATTACCAGCCTGACAACCCACCAGCTGTCACTAATTGCCCACTAATGGGCTGCGGTGGTGTGATGGTTTCTCTGCGAGGGGCGTTCCAATTCTGTACTGGAGGTCCTTCTGGCTTGCCAAATCAAAGGGGACGTACTTAAAAGGCATGTCATGCTCTTCCTCTTAAAATCCAAATAAATCGTCAAACAGACGACGTACGTAGATCTCCATACTTCATTTGTTACATTTTACTTTTTAAACCACTTTGGTTGTTGGTGCAGATGCGCTACACTGTAAAAAAGGTTTTTCAAAATTGTAAAAAAAAAAATACTACTTTAGTCTTTCTACTTTAAAAATTTCAGGTTTATTCGGTGGTACTTGCCGTTTCTTTGCAATCAGTTGTGAAGTTTACTAGCAATTCTTAATGAATATTTTCTCCTTTGTACCTTTCCTCTCAACGCTTATGCTGATATGTGGAATCACGCGTGGTATTTGTAATCTTTGCGGTTGAGATTTTAGCAGGAGACAAGCGGGGCACGTGTCTGCCCTCTGCGTCAGCCAGCCTGCTAATAGATGTGAGAAGGTCATCTGGCATTAGCGGCAGAAGTACGTTAGCATTTGCGCCGAGCGTCTCTCGCCAGACTCTGTGCATGTTTGAAGGCGCTTGGACAAGCAGGCCCTTTCACAGTGATGAATGGCTTTTTTCAAGCGTTCTGCTCCCTAGTTATGAGAAGGGTGACCTGGTCATTGGACGACTTTATGAAGCTATAAAAAATGTATGTCAGTCTCCAGTCTCTAATGCCATCCCCAAACAGAGGAGGAGGGAGCGGAGAGGGGGAGCCGGAATGGTAAAAAGGCCATTTACCGGCGCTCTAAATAGCTCTCTGACTGCCCTTCTCCACTTATCTGACAATGTCCTTGTCGTCAAGACAATTTCTTATTCTGTTTTTTCTTCCCCCTCTCTCTGTTTTTACTCTTTTATAGGACATATTTGAATCGATGGCAGACGGGGCCTCCAAACCCACTCCAACTTTCGTCTTTCTCTCAGCACATTTGGGATCTGCAGCCTAATACACATCCCAGACTAGATATGCTGATATTCTTGCAGTATTTGAAGCATGGGTGGAATACTTACTGGCTGTATGAGCAGGTGAGAGCGTCTTTATTTACAGGAATCGCTGGAGATGCCACATAGTGTGAACGCATTAACTGTTTTTACCTGCATAATGATTTCATGTCATGATTTGGTTCGATACACGATACTGATCTCACAATACGATACTCCTATGATACTTTCATCTAAACCAAAATAGAGTTAGGATGCTAATATGATCACTTCTAATACATATGATAAACGGTTGAGTAGGTTTGGACATTGTCCTTTCCCACATGCACAGGGCAATGGTGGCACCAACTATACACAAGACGTATTGTCGCTATTCATGATACATGTTGTTTTATTGTGCTCAATAGATTGTTACACCCCTTTTTATATTGTTCTGAAAGGCCATTTGAATTGGTAAGGCATCAGGGTTGACTAAACACTTATTTTATGAATGTAGAAGAGATGTAGTTTACTGAAACCTTAAGAGCAACGCAGGGCCAAGATCAGGGATTTACTCGCCAACAGTTTTCACCTCATTTCCATGTAGCATAGCAAAATCCCATTAATCACAAATGTCTTCTTTTTAATAAATATGCAAATTTATATTAGCCGATTGGTGTTACTCCTAATGTGTCATTAATAAAACATGAGCCTCTCTGCTCTCAGCCTGCCAATGTTTTGGAGAACAAACATTCAGGGATGGGGAGAAGATCCTGGAATGCTAATAGTCTGACTTGATGCTGGAAAATCTATATATCCAAGATTAGTCCTTTTTCATTTTTGGAGATGTTAAACACTATAACTAACACAAACCTCCAGATGATTTTTGCTTTAATTCAGTCTTGGTTCCAAGCACAGCATGCACCTTCAAATTGAAAAGTATGATCATTTATTTATGAAAGTAATTGGGTCATGATGTCTGACAAGTGCCTCCTTGCCTTTTTGAGACCTCTTAGGCCAAGAAGTGGATTACAGTCATGTTTTATTCACCGGGCTTGAGTCACATTATTGAAGTGGCTTATTATAGCTTTTTAACCTGCCGTGTGACCTGCACAGTGCCTGTACTAGACCACAGGCCTTGGGCTCAGTGGTCTTGTTAGCACAGTTAAGGGCGGATTATTTTAGTTTTTTAACAGTCAAGAAGGATGTTGGTCTTTGATAGACTCTAACACCAAGGGTTTAGCCAATTCAGAGGAATGAATTAATCATTTATAAATTACTATTAAGAATTTCACTTTATTTAGTCAGAAATTTTGTGGCCAAAAAGTGGACGATCTGACGGGTTTTATTAGATCTATTACAACCCGAAACTAAATAACAGACCCGGCGTCTATTTGAGACTGGCCTTTATTTATCCAAACCTGGCAGCCACACCAGGCGTGTAAAAAAAACAGGCGTCTATTTGGGACTTGGGGTGGAAGTTTACGGTATACACTTAGTTACACTATAATCTTAGTTACCCTGTCACTCTACACGATGCATTGAACTGTTACGCATTCTCCACTAACGTTGTCAGTGTCGATCTATCATTTAATGAAATAGCTTCATTAGTTAGCGCTAGCTAGATTAGCCTAACAAAATACCTGTACATCTGTAGCTGTTGGTGCATCTGGAAAGACGGCTGGAACTGCATTCCTTGTCTTAAACCTGTGACCGTTTCGATTAAATGGTTCTTTAAAGTCGTCTGGTTTAAAATGGTCACTGCAAATCCTCAATTTTTTTTTTTGAGTCTCTGCCGGTGTCTAAATTATCCAAAGTTGAATCCTTTCTGGATCTTCTAAAGGAAAGTTGTGAAAACTTTGCGATGAACATTTTATTAGGTTTGTTCTTGCAATTGAGAAATGCACACCGAATCACCATGTTGCCTTCGTTTACCTCAACAATTATTTCCAAGCTAGCTAGCTAAGACGTCCCGACTGTCTTGCGCTTGTGTTTTGTGTTTACTTTTTGACGCTGTATAATGTTACTACTAACCGGAGTGAAGTAAAATTCCGCCGCTGCTCAGAAACTAGTTCCTGTAAATGTAATGCAATCATTGAGATGAAAAGGATAGTTTGATTTCTAACATTATTCTCTCAACAGACACTTACATCGCTAGTCTGGTGTTATAATTGATTTGCTTTTGGTGTACTGTGGAGTGGGTTAAATTGTGTTTAATGAGACTCGCGCTAGCCTAGCACCGGGGAACTATGCAACTCGGACGACTGGATGAATTTTTTGTCTCCACTGATAAATAACACTATAGGCTCACTTGGAAATGAGGCCCGATGTCCAAAATTCTGAACCACCCCTTTAATATCTTAACCTTGATCTGATTAGTAGATAGGGTGTTTCTTCAACTTTGGGCTCTTCTATGACACTCTTATAGTTTTGTCAATCCTTGTATCTTAAAATATAAAAATGAATAATCCTAAACCATTTCGGTTTTTATTGTGTACTGCCCATTTTTTTCCAACTACAGAATGCTTTTAAACATAATTTGAGATGTAGACATTTCCATGACTTTTTATATATATATAAAAAAAGAGACTGATCTGGTATGTTGCATGTTGATACACCGTTGGACATTGATACTATTCGACAAAATTGACACTATTGAGAGTGTAAAAAGTGTGTTTAGATGATGTGCTCTATTTGAAAATGTTGACTAGGCCGAAAATGCCCATAGAAACACCCTACTTTGATACGGTGATGTTCATTATAACGTCTTTTACATGGCTTATCAAAAACAACACTAGGCTATTTTTCTTCAATAGTAGTGCACTTGTTGCCGTCAGACTATTTTAGACTCGCAGCCCTCCGTATCCCCAAACGGATAAACGAAAGAGATTATTTCAGTATCAGCGGAGTTAAAAGCAAGTGAGATGCTGGGGCCAAATTGCCCGCCTCTGTCTCTTCATGTGCAATCAATCATGGAGCTCTCCTCGGCCACGCTGTTTTAAAAACAGCTGTAATCTGTGGTCATTGTCGCCAGAGTAGATTGTTTGGCAAACTATTACCATAACTGTCAGGCCAAATCAGAAAAATAATCTCATCACTCTGGACAGATGCAGTTCCCCTGCATTATTGATACGGTCATCTCAGAGAGAGAGAGAATTATAAAACATAGTTCTATTTACAAAGGGAGATTGGCTGGGTCCTTGAGAGTGAGTGAGAGGGACAGGTACTTCCAGGAAGTGAGATATAGGCAGTCCAGAAGGGAGCAGGAAGGGAAGGAAAAACAAATTTCTTGGCTTCTTGGGGTCACCTCACCCCATGGGCTTGCTTCCTCCGTGAAAATGAATCACCCGGATACACCGACTGAATACTCAAAGTGCTTTCCCTGCCTCTGAGGCCTTGACACTTAATATTAGATTTTACCCCCTTTTTTATTGCAAAATGGGGTGGCTGGGGTTGATCTCAATAGCAAGGTAATCTCTGCATTTACTCTTGAAAGCAAAAAGCATGTTAGCATTCTCTTTTTTTTTTCCACATGCGGGTGTAAAGTGGTTTGTCGACCAACAATAACACTGAGTGCACTTTGTAAACCCATTGCATACAGTTACATATTAAAACTTAAAACTTATTTTCTAGGCATCTTTCGTGTACGTTCTTCAAATCTCTCCTGTTGACCCGTCCGGCCATGCTGTACCTTGGAAAGCCCTAAATCGCAGGTCTGCCGTTTGACCGGTTGCCAAACTTTGTGTTGTAAAAACATGTGTCCTTTGCTGGCACGGGACAAAATTTGGCAGGATAGCATACAGCGGCTTACAAGATCTAGCATATGGAAGGACAAATAGTCTCTCACCCAATGCATCAGGTCTGTGCCATCTTCCCTCAAAAAAAAAAAAAAAAAGAACATGATGGATGTTGGAAGATGAAGGCTGGGAGGGATCCAAGCAATACTTTCAGCCAATGGTTAGTAACAGCCGGGTTAGAGTTACAGCACTCTTGGCTTGGGAAGGGCTTGCCAGGAATATTCGTTGTCAACGTGTCTTGGTGTTTTTACAAAGGTATCCCAATGGCATATTCTCAATTCTCAACGGCTGACAATTAGCATTTATGTGGTCTGAGATTGATCAAAACTTTGATTTAGCCCTAACTGATTCAGCTGTGTTTTAGCCTGAGGCTTGCTTTGGAAATGTCTATTTAGACATTAAAGCCAATGCTAATGATTCAGTAAACCAGTGATTCACACTACAATAAAGAGAGAGCCACTTGCTTCTAAAATTAAACATTTTTAGTTGGAAAATTACAAAATGGGTATTGTCCTCACTTTTCTCGACCCAAAAACAAAAAAATATTTTTGTTACAACAAAATTGTTTGTGAATATTTATAATAATGGTTCTGAATTCTGAATCTGAAATGACCCATGATCGTGAATGATTCAATGACTGTGAATCTGATTCCATCGATAACTTATGAGTTCATGACTAGTTTTTGTATTTGACTCATTAAAAAAAAAAACCCTCTTATGGTTCATATGAGTTGTTTGTTATGAATTGTAATTATTTTATTTTTATCCAAAATCGTAAATATCGCTTGTAGAAAACATTGTCACACACACATTTGTATTAACTAATGCTGATTTGTAATTTTAGTGCGTGTAAAGCAGGGATCGTTTTTATCCGTTTTCTAATATTAAAATCTTGAAATCTTTGAAATACCTTCAAGCACAAAAAGCAATATAAAGTATGTTTTCCTTTTCTGAAAACAAATGACATCTTTTCATTTTCCTCTGCCTTGTTCCTGTGATTAATCTCATGAATTGCATCCTTATTTTAACATGATTTAGGCATTCACGTACAAAAAGAAAGAAAGAAAACATATTAGCAGTCTGTATTTTTCCCCTGACAAAGAGCCATTCACAAAGAATGAAAGTAAATGCGCTGTGTCACAATTGATCATCCTTTAGGGGGAAAAAGAATGCCTGAATCAATTGAGGCTACGATTGAGAAACATTTGCTCAGGACGCTGGGCAGACCTGGCAGTGGGACTTTAGGACCTGAGTGTGATAAATTTGTCCTTATTATCCCTATTGATGTTTAAATTTCTTCAGGGCTG